AAGGATGATTTTCCATTAATAATAATCCAACACTAGCAGGTCATGACTATCTCCTTCATTGTACCTCTCTGCTTCTTTTGCAAACTGTATTTCCTAAAAGGAAAATTCAACATTCTCTTTATGCTGGGTTACTTGCCTATATTAGAAAGTAAGCTGTGGGAATGGTAGATCCAAGTCCAAGTATTAGTTTTGCTGCATTGTTAGTCACCTTGGCAAGGTCCAGAAAGGATGAGAGAAGTCTTAAAAGAGTGCTAGAGAGAAATCTGGACACGTTCTGCATAACTATGGCAGGTCCAAATTCCCCAGCTGTTTTTGTTTTGGCAGACCCTAGAATTTCTGCCCAGCGAGCCTCAATGAGAGCCAGAAATCCAGTAATTTTCCACCTAATTCCTGGAGGCACTGTGCTAGCTGTGCAGTGGCTGGGTTCTTGGGGTACCAGTTTAAGACCTGTACTTACAGTTAAATCCACAAATGAGCTATTCTGACAGGATTGGCCACTGCTTCTAACGAAACAGACAAAGGATTTTACCACTCGCTGCCTGGAGAAATCATTCAGGAGGGAGAACTACGCTCTGCTCCTTTCTTAGCTTTGCAGAATTCAAGCCTGCATCTCAATTCGAAAAGCGTATGACCCCATGGCATCTGTTCTACAGAGCCTGTTTCAGATCTTGTGAGATCAGAATCGAGGAAAATATGAATTACTATCTTTTGAGATACAGGAGGAAATTGAACCCGAATATTTTGCACGATGGGAAACCCACGCAGCCTGCTCATCTGCAGAAGACATTACCACTCCCACCGCCATGTGCACCAGTTTGAAGAATAGAGTGCAGGCCCACAGGTCCAGAAAAACTTTTGAGATGAAGGGTCCTTAGTGGAGGAAAGCCTTCTGAAGCAGACATGATTAGCATGGAATAGATTAATAAACTCTGATCAGACAAGTGCTTCATGAACTCTGTGACGAAGCCAATCCTTGCTCAGTGTGCTGACCTTAGTGAGCTCCTGGTACCACATGCGGGTTGTTCTTATTCCATTCTGACACATCAAGCTTTTGTCATGCATTGTATCGGAGGCCTTGCTCCTAACTCTGGGACTGGGACGCCTTTGCAGGGAGTGGCTTCCTGAAATGAAGCTCTGCTGAAGCATAGTGCTGCTTGCCTGAATTGTTTTTTTTAGAGCTGCTCCAATTGTACAATATTGTTTTCTCTTCAACGACTTGTTCTTATGCTGGTATGTGCAGACCACCTTAGTGTTCATTTCTGAAGTGTATGTACAAGACCACTGACAACATTCATGTATGCACTGGGACTTGACCATGGTGTTGCTCCATAGACTAGAACAGTCCTGGGATGACATCCAAGCTGAATTATTCTGACAAAACCTATCCCTGAACACACATATTAGGGTATGAATTCACTTTGAGACCATTTTGTCATTTTATGTATGTGACATTGTTTCATTTTTAGAAATGATACAATTGAGTAATTTTTATAAATAACACGATCCTGTGCTTTCTTTTATGTCTTTTATTTTGTAGAAGCTGCAGGCTATTCACAGAGATCAAATATTTCCCTATGCCTCAAGCTCTTCCCCTATGCTCAGTGAAGAAATAGAGATTAGTGGAATAGTCTAGGAACAAAAAGCAATATATAGACATATGTTTGTGTGAAACTTTTGAACAGTATGTGGGTAAAAATAGCATTTACAAACTTGAAGGGTCTAAAAAAACAATCCCCTTCAAAGCCTAAGTAAATTAACAACATCAATGCTGTAGAATAAAATGTTCTGTAATCCAAAAAGGAGACGTCAATGTAATCAAATTCCCACCCCCACCCCCACCCCCCGGAAGGCACAGAATGTATATATACCAGCATCCATGTAGTTTAGGAGAATGGACTACAGTGCTCAAAATAGCTTCTAGTCCCCCATATTTGAAACAACTGAAGCTCCCTATTTTTTAAGCTACAAGTACATAAACTCTGACAAATAAAACCTCTCTACCTTGGTTGTTTAGACAGCAGGATCAAGATCGCTGTTACGGCCAGCCCACATGTTCCAAAGATAACAACTAAGAACCATGGAAACTCAATTTCTGAAACAACAGAACAAAATCATGTTAGCAGGAACTGCATCTCTGTTGCACCTTTAATTTCAACCTCCTCTTCCAGCACTTGAGGATTCCAGAGTGGTAAAAAATGATAGGAGAATTTTTGGTTACTTAAATGTGAAAATTCTGGTTTAAGCAGAAATAAAAATACCCTTTTGATCTCAACAGTATCCATACTGCATTTGAGAGTCCACTCAAACTCCTTGCAAAACCAGAATGAGTTTTTAGAATATAAACGAGATCTTAGTGCAGACAATATGTGTAGCAAAACGAACCATGAAGAACTTTCTGCCTGCTTGGAACATGCAGTCCTGTAATCCTGTTGGCATACATGTTGCAGACCATGTTAATGCTTGTTTGCCCAAGCCGAGAGAACATTATTAATAGCATACTAAATCATAGGCAAACTATTATTTTCTCACAGAAACTAAAATATCTAAAATATGGTTATGTCAAAAAGCATACTTCTCCTCCTTACAAAGGCTGAACATGAATTATGTTATGAACTACCAACTAAAAAAATACAGATTTCTCCTTTTTATTTACCTTGCAGGTGGTTACAAAGAATATAAGTCATTGAGAAACCCAATTTGGTAGGTATGAAGAACAATGCTGACAAATTAAGTATTTTATCTTTTAAATACTGGCAATTCCAAGATGCTTAAGCTGACACTGTAGAATACAATGTACAGAGAAATTTATTCTGCTGTAGTCTTAGATTCTTCTTATTTGCTTCCAATTTTAAATTTTCCATTAGAATGTCACTCATTTTTTGGGCCAAAGAATACTGGACAGAATGCTTTAGAATTGTATATGTAAACATTTATACATGTAATTTTTTTGGAAAAAACTTAAATAAAATGTAGGTACTAGTTTTACATCTGTGCTCCCACCTTAGATTTTGACTGGACATATTTTCAGGCATGAGTAAAATCCTATCTGTACATGTTTGTGTTAGACAGGTCCCTATTTTAATGTAGAACCACTAACACCTTGCCATGTGAGACCTGTGAATGTCCAGCTGCTTCAGAAAGTTAGAATATTTCATTTAACTACTCTAAATTTTTATTACACAGAAAATTTGAACTTTAATTCTGTGTCCCTACAGGTGCTATACAAACCAACCAAGAAGAAATTCTAAATCAAATTAGACCACTGCTGCTGTGTGAGATATATGGATATGGATCAACGTGCAGAATCTGGGTTGTAGAAACTGCAGAAAACTGTGCTTGTTACGATGGTCTTAGATTTTCATAGTATTTTAATCTTGTTCATATGAAAACCTTGACAACTTAATGCAGCTGGGGTTAATAAGATAATGCCTCATGTCCAGCACATTAGCTGTTCATATAAATTAGGTATGATAACTAATAATATGAAGAGTTAAAAAGGAGGAATCTAAAGAGATCTTTAAAGGTAAGACTTACGGGTGGTTTTATTTAACACTTTCACTAATACCCTGGAAAATGAAATGAAGCAGCGTGTGAAAATAATTTGCTGAAGAGCTCATATTTTAAAGAGTTAGTTTAGTAACTCAGACCTGGTAATGCTTTAGGAAAAGGCACTGTCTCACTCTTTTAATAGAAAAAAATATGGTGCTTTATGGCTGTTTCTTCTTCTGCCTTTAAGAGCACTTTAAAAACAAGACAGAAAAAAGAATCAGAAAAACACTCCCTGTCTTTGATAGTATTCTGATAACAAACTTAGTCAGCAGTATAACACTTGAATAGAAGTGACTGTTCCCTTCACTACCAGACTACTTATTTTAGGTGAAGTATGAGATTTAACTGCATTTTAGGCTCTGTAAGATATGTAACAGCAGTTATTATTTCTGATTCTTAAGCCATCTTTATTTTTGCTCTCTGATGAGCTGACTTGACTTCTGAACTTGTACATTCTCTACCTCACCAAATGATTTTCATGTAATAGGCTGAATTATCAACCTATTCAAGCATACAACATCAACAGTAAGAAGAAAACCAACACCACCAGAAAGACAAAAAGACAGCATAGTTATAAGAACAGCTTGCTGCACCTTACTTACTTACCTTCAGCACAATGAACAAGTTCAAGGCCTGCTTGAGAAAAAGATACAAAAAGGATTTCACTGAACTCCCCAAATTTTTCGGAGGTACGTTGTCTTGATCGGACTCGTATCTCATAATCTCTTCCAATCTTTAGAGAGTACAGTGGAACCATTGTTGACAGCCTGGGTTCTAACTGTAAAAACAGAAGGACTGTGATTTATTTGTTTGAATTGTACTGGCAATTTTTCACTGCTTCTTGATTTCATAAATAAACATTTGAAGGTGTTTTTGCTACTTTGAACTATATTACAAGAAAAGTTCAGAGAAAATTCACGCCCTTTACTTTTGACTTAACTAGCCATCAGGCTTCACTGTGACCAAGAGTGGAAAATCCAAGCTCTCTGTAAACATTGAAGAAAGGCAGCAGCCCCCAGTTAGTTACTTGCCATAAGCAGGTGGTGTGAACATCTCCCACTTATCAAGTTGTAAATCCCTCTTACTGTTGTAACACAACATTACTGACTTCACAATGCCAAGATAATTGTTAAAATGACACAGGAGTCTTAAAACTAGTACAATCTCAACTATAGAACTGATTTTAAGAAGAATGATTGAAAGGCCTTCTAATCAGATGTACTGCATCTTACAAATGTATTTATTTGGGGAACACTGCATAGCTCCCAGAAACTTCAACTGTAAATAAAATGTGATAATGGAAACTCCGTGAGAGTTTCTGGCATCAGACTGTCAATTTTAAGACTTCTATAATAAGTAATAACTGCAACATACTTAGATGCTGCCGCATATCAAACTATACAGGAAGTTACATTAGAGGTCTTACTATGGGAAATCTCTCTCTTCTTCCATTACTCCTCTAAGAACACGTATTTTAGCTCCAGCAGCCCAGCAAATGTATGTAAAAATAAGGAAAATGTGCTCAAAATAGAAATGCATGTGGCAGATGTTATATTCTACCTTTACTTCTGAATCAAGGATGATACTACTGAAACTTGTCATGGGCTAAGAATTGAAAGTATTTAATTTTTTGTGCTATGAAGCCACAAAGAAATAGTACACTAAAGTTTTACAGGTAGTTTTTTATGTTTTCTTTGTTTGTTTCTTTTTTATTTTCCTGACACAATTGGTGGAGGTTCTTAAGGATGCTGGACCATACAACATATACAACCAGATAATGGTAGCACTTTGAAAAAGCAGTGTGCAAGATAAGTTACAGCCCTGAAAAATATAAGGTAAAATTATTGTAGCTGTGTATCTGAAATTGCAAGAATTGCTAAAGAACAGGTAATTGATTAATGGGCAGGATGTCTCTAGACCACCAATGAACTAGCACAACTTTACATAAAGACACCTGGATGGATCAAGTCGTACAGACTGGGGAACATTCCCCATGAACTGAATAGATTAATGGCATTAGCCATATGGATTAAGTCAACTAAAAGCCATCTGAGAGAGACATGCTAGAAGATAACTAATAAAAATGCACAACAGCATACAGCAAACTCATTTAAAGTATGTGAAGGGGAGCTTGGAACCAGACTGCTGGGTTGCTGGACTTCATGCAGGCTCTTCAGTCGGTGTACGTGGCTTGTGACTGCCATACTGAAGAAACGTGTGACGAACCTGCTGTCACGCTGAGCTGTGTGCATCAGACTAGCCCTGCAAGAGGGCGTTAAGGCAGACTGCAGAACAACTGTTTGTCACTAGTCAGCTGGAGCCCTTGGGATGCTGACAGTGCCCACTGGGGTGGGAGCATGAGAGGCACAGGCTGGCCCAGGCACGACATGCAACGCAGCAGCCAAGGCAATGGCTTCCACCAGCTTTGACAGAAAAATGGGGAAAACTGGGAGATGGGTAGTACCATAGAAAGGTTCAGAGGTACCCTGGGTAGGCATAGCACAGGCTTGGCAACCCATATAACGTGTGTTAGGCTGTATATCCAGTGCAATGCAGGCAGATGAGCTTTGCATTCCTCAAACTAGACAAGCCCTGTATCTCAGCCACACTGCTGTATGGACACACAGTGGTGCTCACGTCTGAAATTAGTACTCCATGCTTCCTTGACCTAAGCGTGCTTCCTTGCAGGACCTTTTCCAGCAAAAACTCCACAAGATAACAAGAGCCAGCAGAGTCTTCCCTGGTCCAGCCCTGTTCACTGAGGACTGAGCTGTGATCATCAATTTCATAACACAGTAGGTGGATCTGGGCCTGTTTCTGTTTTATTATTTATTTTTTAATTGTTATTTTATTTTATTTTTTTTTAGTAATTAAAAAGATCAGGCTGGTCTAAAATATGATAAGTAAATAAAGAAAAATTAGAATTTCAAGATTCCCTTTTGCACCTTTGTTTATAGGCACTTTGTAGACAGACACTTCACTATGAAGTCATCATTCTTCACTATGGCTCAGATGACGTGTGTTTGAAAAAAACCCAGCAGCCTCATTGTATAGGTGTAGGGTCTGAATAGGTATTGCTAGTCATTACTAGTGAACTTGGAGAGACGTAAGAAGTGACAGAATTTTAGCCTACTGAATGTACTGGGCAACACTTCAAGATAAGAGGGTAGAATTTTGAAAAGCTACCACCAGGCAAGGGGCTAATACAAATGATGAAATTTTTTCAGTCTCTGAGCCAGATTGCATTTGGCTCTGTCTCACAAACAGCTGCTGTATGAGGGTAGGGATTTTACTGGTTTTATGCAGTTTCTATAAAAATAATTCTGATCTTCTTATCACTATAACTTACTGTTATAATACTTTACTTTCAATTCATAAGTTATTTTCAGTCAGTAAATGGATTGAAAGAAATGAATGCTACAAATGAAAAATCAAACAGGTTCATTCCAAAACATCTAAAAGAATTGCAATGAATGCTCAGCAATGATGTGGCTTAGTACAATTTTAAGTACTATATATGTTTTTTTTTAATCAGTTATATGTGCAAAGCATTATGGTATATTTAAGCAGTCAAACATTATAATTTCTGTAAAAATCTCTCTTTGCTGTTCCACACTCATTACAGAAGATATTTGTAGCAAAAAACGCAAAGTTAACTCAGTTTTGCTATTGTCTTACGCCAGGCCAAGTTTTTGTTCAGAAATTTCTTTTGTGCTCTGCTAGTGTCTAAGGGAATTATGCCATGTTTATGCTTTTAAGCTGAAAGGCACAATAACATACAATACATACAGCTGCAGTACAACATAATCTATAGTACTATTCTTCTTGAGGCAAGTATAGTATTCATCAATTCGTTATCTGTTTTCTAAAAGAAAAACACTGAACTTCAAACCTTTGCTCTCCTGAGAAGAGCTATTCTCAAGGCATGCTGGAATTATTGGTGGTACTGGAGCAAGAACAAAGCTTTATTAGATTATTTATACAACTGATACCTAAAGCCTTATAAAAAAGAAAAAAATGTACATTTTTTAAGAGGTGTCCATATTGCCACCTGCTCTTGTAAATCCCATAAATACTCTGCAGATTTTCAAGTTCTTAAGGAGTATTGATTTACTTCCTAAACTTAACCCATTTTATAGGGTTTAAAATACAGAAGCTATAAAGTAAGTGTAGCTTAAACCAGTATATAGAGAAATTCAGACAAGTATTAGGAAAAAGTTACAGACATTATAGTCCATTTGGCTGTAGGCTTCCTAATAAGGAATAGGATACAGAGAAAATGCTAACATTGAGAAGCATCAGAGATAAGGAGAGGTCCAAGGTCTTTCAGAGACGAATGGAAGCAAACCAGTTTGATTTATGTTTCAACTGGTAAATTTGCCTTCTGTAGACTATGACATATTCATAACAGTTATTATCTGCCTTCCTTCTGTCAGTTAACTCAGCTCATATTGATAAAAGGCAAAGGAAGGGATCTGCTCTGAATGTTCTTACTGCATTGAACTGGTATTCAGGAAGAATTATCCATGTGCAGATATGCCATGACACTCTGGCACCTGGCCTGTGCATTCAGGTAAGATGGGTGCAATTTCTTCCCCATGTAGAAAAACTGACTATGTAAAAAGCTAAGAGATTTTCAAAAAGAAAACTGAAAAGGTTTGGGGTGTATATGTTTTACATTTTCATGGACTATCCACATAGTCAGGAATTTCCCATTGCTATCTGGTATGAAATATGTATGTCTTATCCATGTTGCATTATTTTTATTTGTTTATTGTATCAGATTTTAAGTGATAACTCAAGGTTGGTTTTTTTTTTTAATAATTTACTGAAATGGTAATTATAAATACTAGAACTTTACAGGTACCCTAAAGAATCTGGACAGACATGGTGACATTTTCCAAGCAAAATATTCCTGTTCCAGCTACTAAAATTACCAAGCAGTGTTTCAAACAGCTGAGATTTAGAAAAACAATTTATTGAAAACCTTGTAGATATCTGACTATTGCTACTATACTTTCTAATCCAACACAGGGATTTTGGGGTTTGTTGTTATTATCCTGTATGCCAACTATCTTGACACATGAAGTTATAATTTTTGCTAGAAAACTTCAGAGGAACATGAGTCTGTTGTTTAAGACTTAAGGTTATCATCTAATTAGCAATTACAATGCTTTTGACTTTTCATAGTAGTACAAAAGTGTTAGGGACAGAACAAGCCTGCACTGTACTATGACTATTGTAAATAAATATTTGCTTCATACCTCCTTCCATTTTGTCTCATTAACTTCTTTGTACTGCAATTCATACTCCAGAGTAATCCATCCTTTCTGAACATCTGCAGTTGGTGGTGGATCCCATCTTACCTGGATATCCCCATGGATCCCAGTCTGACTAGTATTTAGCAGAGTCCAGTTAAGGTGGACAGGGGGATCAGGTAGTACTGTTTAAACAGAGTATTTGGAATAAAACAGCCAGTTTTCAATGTGAAATTATCATTCTTACTACAAACTGTTAAATGATTCCAAGACTAAAAGAGCATATTAAGCACATATTTGCTGATTAAAATCTAAAGCTATGAGTCAACGACAAAGTCACTACAGGTTTGATAACAAGAAGGCACCCTGCCATTGATGGTAGAGTTGCTCTGCGTAAATGTCACCTGAGTGACTTACAAAGAAGACTAAAAATGTATACCTGTTAGACTACATTTCCTAATAGCAGCTTAGAAAACACTGAAACATAAACAATTCACCATTAAAATTTAAATTTGGGGTTCTCACTAGAAATAAAAACAGTAATTGGAGTAACACAGTAAGATAAATTAGGTATTTAATAACTAACATAGGTGTGCATTGAAAAACTATTGCATCTGAAAAATTAACCTAAATTTGCTCAACTGAAGAAAAGAGAGCAGTGGGTATTCTAGTCATGTGCAGAATAAATTAATTGCCTATGCATACACCACTGCTCTGAAAAAGCACTAACATCTGTAAAGCGCCAGTGAGTTACAATTCATATTGCAACAAATATAAATTCTAGCTTAGAAATGCTAAACATCCTGATTCTGTAGATTAGGACTGATTCAGGAACAAAAAGCTGTTTAGTTCCAGAATTTTGCAGAATCAAGATTTTAATGCTACCCTTGCTCAAAACTGAAGAAGGGCATGTAGCAGCCTTTAGACAGGGCTCTGAGTGACGACAAAGGCAAGCTCATATGCACACATTTGAGAGATCACTGGTATTCAGAAAGAGAAACCATGCATTTGCTTTTATCCTTCTAGCTTTCTTCTGATTCGGGCAGTATTTTCTGGTGTGGATCACCTTACATTTGTCACAAACCCAAATCCCTTCCTATATATATTTTTTAGAAACTAACCTTTCTGCGATGGGAAATTTAAATGAAGTAATACAAAAGCTTATAGCATCACACCTATTGCAATTTAAAAATATAGAGGTAAAATGCATAATGGAATAATACCTATTTCATCAACGCTGAAACATTTTTCATCAAATACTTCATCTTTATTGGCAAGCTTAACGCAATATGGTATCCAAATAGAGGTGTAGGATGTGTTGAAATAACAGCTATTTTCTCCTGCAGTGATATAATCAGGGCATTCTTTCCAGTCTTCATCATTCCTAGAATGACAACAAAAATGTAATATACGTGAGAGCAGGATTTATAGATCTTACAAAATACAAATTATAGATGTCACAAGACACATTGTTGATAACTCGTAACTTCCATGGAAGTTAGAAAAACACATCAATATTGATTATGATTTACAATGAAACCAAACCACTATGCAAGCAACCTGCATAAATGTGTTTAGGTTCTCATGTGCTGTAAGTGGAATTCCTCTGCTTTGGATGCTGCTTCCAAAAGAACAGTCCCAAAGGTATCTTGCTATGCTGGCAGGTGCTAATGACTACCTGCAAGCACAAACTTAGGTGAATTTAATATGCATTTAAACAACTGTTGTTCAGGCAAAGATAAACTGCACTAAGATGCTCATCTACACAATGAGGTCTCAAAGAGTGGAAGCCAGTCCTTACCGTGGCTCAGTACTGCACCACCTGCACAGCAAGGACAGGGTAGTGTGTTGCCCTGGGAAACTGAATTGGGATGCGGGCACTGGAGCTTTGATCCCTCACATGGGAAAGTGCCTGAGGGTGGATGCTGCAGGAGACCTGGCACAAACCAAGCCAGGCCTGCAGGATGTGAATGAGGAGAAGAGAAATACAGCACTGTGAGTGAGGAAGGGCTAAATTCCTTTGGTTACAAAACTTCTAAAATATAGGTTTGGAACTACTAAAAATAAACACCTTATGTTTTTTCCATCCGATTTGGTTTAAAAAGTTATAAATGTTCTTTGTAAATAAAATAATTGCAGCAAGAAATACCACATTAATTTAATCTCTTAAAAAAGGCAGACACCAAAGGTATGAACAGTGGCATGAACTCTCAGACTGAGAAATAGTGCTACTTGCATAGGGTCATTTTAATGCAGCCAAGCTGAAACTACTCAGCAGGTTCAAAACCAAAGATGTCTTCAGATAGAGCAAAATGGGAATGACCAAATTGTCAGAAATAGTCTACAGGAAAAGTGTCAGATATTTATTCAGTATTTCTAAAGTCACTTTGGAAAAACAAATCTTGTAGCGAACATATCTCCTGTTGCTGTTCTTTACCTTGATAATATTTCTCAGTGCAAACATCAACTGAACAGGAATCTTTCAAAAATTACAGTCTTGGTTTGTTAAAATATACTGTAAATGCCTTTTCTTATCAAGAGCCATTGAATCTGTACAGAAGGAGGATTAAACTAAATCAGTTATGCCAAGTGCACCCTTCAGTGCTGGAGTGGGTGCTTAAGGAGTGAAAAGGCAGATGCTACGTAAACTGAGTAAGAAGCATTTCTGCCAATAAGCACCGATCCTGCACTTAGCTGATGAACCAGACACTTTTTGAAAGGAAATGCTCTGCAGAGTCAGGACTTGGTAAGGGTGTAAGTGGTTAAATAGTATGGCTTGTGTTGAGTAGGAGGCTGGGTTAGTTGACAGAGTTCAGTCCTGAGCCTTAAATGTTGCTTGCACATCGAAATGTAAGTATTTTTAACGTGGATGCTCAGTTTGCAGCTTTCATTGCAGTATCCTAATTTCTAGGACAAAGATGAAATACGGGATCTGCTCAGTGTATGTGATACTGCTTTATCATGGAGTTTAGTTAATTTTTAAAGACTGAACCCACATAGTACATGCACTGACGACCGTCAGCTAAACATTACATTTATATAGTGGTTCTAACTTGGATCCCAATTATCTCTGAGAGGTCCTAGAAAAGTAAGAAGGCCAGCCTTGCCATTAGGGTTTAGTTTGCCATGCAAACATATAATCACTAGTAGAAAGTGTCCATAGATAAAAAAGGCTGAAATTCTGCCCATTAGAGGGAAAAAACCCTCACATTCCTGTGAACAAAAGGCCTATTTTCCTTAATAGCCATTATTGGTAATGTTAATGTCCTCTTTCAGTCTAAGCATTGTAACAACCTGAAAATTGCAAAAACTTAAGTAGAATGTGAATCAGACTTGAACAAAGCTCACTGAAAGACAATCCCCAGTCTCAAAGCAGCCTTTCACCTGGACCTACACACTCAGACTTCAATCTAGCAACGGATCAATGGGAGCTTTATAAAACTTTAATAAAAATTTGGAATGGGCTTGTATCCAAACTCCACATCTATGCACAGATACAACAAATTTCACAGTTCTACATTAGGCTGGTAAGCAATAAACTGAAGTTCCCTACTAAAATCTCATTTCCCAAGCTATAGAGTGTTCAGTTTTGGATTCTGCAACCTGGACCTAAGTGTAGTAAGATCATGTTCTTAATTATCTTCCACGTAATGCTTGTTGCCACAAATAATTTAATAGTTAATGACAAATTTTGTCACTCAAAAATATGCACTTAAAACACAATTTAATGCCTTTAAAAAAGTATGGTTCATATCACTGCAAGAAATTAACAGCAATGAGCTAACAGGCACAGCAAAATATATGAGTTCTCTCTCTTTTCCTCTTTCTTTTGTTCTTTCCTTATCATTACCTTTTCATGTACAATAGCTGTATTGTTCCTGGAGCGGTGAGGTTATAAAAGCTTCCGTCAGTCCAATAACATGAAAATGTCTCCAGTTCAGGTGATCTGCACTTGCTGATTTGTGGCCACTGCAAAAGGTCTGTCAGGGAAAATGGCAGGGGACAGAAGTAGAGACATTAAACAAATCCATAAGCTGTTAAAATTAAACTCAGCATTTTTAATGAATAACATAATATCATTTTTTCCAAATTTCATATGTACAATGAGGCAGGACTTAAATTCTTCTTATGTTCATATATGCAGATGACAGTACCTGTAGGAAGCCATATTTGAGGGATGGGCCAAGCTTTTTGTTGTGCAGTGTAGAAGTGTTAGTGTCACAGCCTGACACACAGCATGGGGATCTGCCAACCCCATAGCTGTAGTTGAATAGAATAGCATAGACTACTTCAAGTGGAAGGAGCCTACAACAATCATCTAGTCCAACTGCCTGACCATTTTAGGTTAAAGCCTGTTGTTAAGGGCATTGTCCAAATGCCTCTTAAACACTGACAGGCTTGGGGCATCAACCACCTTTTTAGGAAACCTGTTCTGGATTTTGACCACACTCTTGGTAAAAAAAGAAATGCTTCCTGATGTCCTGTCTGAACGTCCCCTGGTGGAGCTGTGAGCCATTCCCATGCGTCCTGTCACTGGATACCAGGGAGCAGAGCTCAGCACCTCCCTCTCCAGTTCCCCTCCTCCGAAAGCTGTAGAAGATTAATGAGGTCACCCGTCAGCCTCCTTCTCTCCAAACTAGACAAGCCCAGAGCCCTCAGCCGTTCCTCACAGGACATTCTTTCCAGCCCTGTCACCAGCTCTGTTGCCTCTGGACACAGTCAGTGACCTCCACATCCTTCTTAAATGGTGGAGCTCAACACTGCCCACAGTGCTCCAGGTGAGGCTGCACCAGCGCTGAACACAGCAGCAGAATCACCTCTGTTGACAGCCTGGTGATACTGTGTCTCATTAGTTCAGTACAGATACACCTGAATTAGCCCTGCACTTGATTTAACTCAAGTGTGGTACTGCAGAGTTTGGTATTAGACTAACCACAGTTTAGTATTTACACAGCTGAGCAGTTTTGCAATGTGTCTACTCATTAGAGTAGCTACCTTGAACTGAGTTCAGGTTTGTGTATATGACATTGTGTAGATACAACCTTGCTCTGAGAGAGATAAGGGCAGCTCTAAGCATGTGCCTATTCTGCCACATGTCACTTCTATATTTGTCAGTTCTGTTTGTCAAAACTGCAATGATGTAGGGCCATGAAGTGACTGATACTATTTGGCTTGGAAAGCTCTCCAGAAGGAGATCACATGTGCACCGAAGTGTCAACCCTGTCATGGTTTAAGCCATTCTATGGTTCTGTGACAATATTTGGTACAAAATATTTACACTCAGAGTTGGAAAAAGCATTAAGGTGCAGACATCCACATGCACCCGAGGTTTCCTCCTACGCATAAGGATTTCGTAGCCTTCCCGCATGTCTACTCCTTTATTTACAGCTCAGAGAGACATAGCCACTCCACACCAGAGCAATTTGCATTTCTTGAGCTAAGTGGTTCAAATTGTGTCCAAAAATACATGAATACATGAATTTCTGTTTTGCTCATCTCGTATCATTGCCTCATTTCACACTTTGGACATTGCACAAGGCCTGAACATATGCATGTTAATAAGAGAATTCATGAGTTGGGTGGCTTATACCCCGCCTCCACCCCCAAAGCCTTAAGAATTCTTCTTGCCAACCTAAAAGAACTGATATTTGATTGGAAAGATTTAAACAGTAATTTTTTTTCTCTTTCTTAGCCAGCATGTTCCACTTCACTGAGCTTTAAATGAATTTTTGAATTGAAGCAGATTTTGAAATGAAGTGTTGCAACAAACGGAAAATACTACAGTTCTTTTTCAGAAATTGTTAAAACAATTTTTACTATTATGCCTGATTTTGTTCGGTACAGTGTTCAATATTTAAGAGCTTTGGCCTAAATCCCAAAATGTTTTTGACTGTCCTTGATTTGAGCTTTTACACATTTTTACATCATTTATTAAACAATTTTCATACGGTAGATATCTTTGTTAAAACCAGGACGTGATCATGAAATTACAAACTGTCATAACATAAGTCCAAAGTAAAACAGACTAAAAGATTCAAGAACAGTATTATAACTTTTAAAATATGCTCAGCTTACAAACTTAAAAATTCTTTTCTATTTAACTGAAGACAAAATCATCGTTTAAAAACAAAACAAAGAAAAATAAACTAAATTTTGTGCCTTTACTTTGAAGACGTAAGTAAAATTGCCTCAACTGCATAATACCTATAATCAACAAGATGAGTTTCTCCCTTCTTCTACAAATAGATAGTGCGCAAGGAAGTACATGTTACAGCCTTTCCTGTGTCTCTCCTCAGCTACATGCATCAAGGGCAAATATAGCTATTTTTACTGAAACAGGTTAAGTATTTGAGGAAATGATATACTGGAAAAGATTCCTAAATTAGCATATTTTTGTTGATGCCTGCACCATATTTATAGCTAGAACATAAAATATCTAAAGCCAATGCAGACCATGTCCTCATCTTCAGTGATCAAGAAAGTTACACTGTCACTTCTTTATATGATGAAATGAACTGAATAGAATAAAACTTCTCTTACATTTTGAGAGGCTCGTCAGCATCCTAGACATAAGATCTACAATGTCTTAATAATGAATCCTGTTGAATTCATCAGCTTTATGCTCAAGTTAAATTAAGGACTGCAAGATGCACAAACTCTTCTATGAAAATGAATAATAATACAGCCAGAAGTGGCACCAGTTACAACGGAGAGGATCAGCAACACACACAGAATACAGACCAAGACTTGTTCTCTCACACTTTAAATTCAGAGGAATGTATCCCTGAGGTCCCACTCTCTTTTCCACTTCCTTTTGACAGGACTTTTCTTTGCCTCACAGGTGTTCCTCCAACATGCGCAAGAATTTTTGAGCAGGAAGCAGTTTGCTTGGGATTCAAATACTCTTGGACTACTAGTTTTTATACATATCCATATATATTTACGACCAGTTGCATTTGTAAGAAGAATTATCTTCTGATAGCTTGTTTCTAATATTCGTGTCAAGTTTCTAGCCTCTAAAACCTCAGACTTCTGTGACTGACTGGAGAAAACTTTGTCATATTAACTTACATAATGCTTGGCACTTTTGGGATAGATCTCCTGAATTCCTTGTTCCTTGTGCAAGTAAATTACCAACATTGTACAGGACTCTGTGTGAGCTCCATCTCCTGAGCAAATTGTGCCAGGATGTGACAAATGAACACAATAGCACACAGCTGAATGCATTTAAGCATAAAGGCAGCATGGTACGGAAAGTAAAGGCTGTCAAACTGAGGTTCTAAATAGGCTAGAAAAGCAAAACAAAACATGCATACACAATTGCTCTTTTCCTACCTGATCCAATAAGTTCCGGTCAAATTGTCACGAATAAGACCACTCATTTTAATCAAGGTAACAGCTTTGCAGAATATGCAGATTCAGTAGTAGAAAACATGGGAAAACCTGGTAAATCTGTGGTTCCCACTGTGACTACTAAGAAGGACTGGTATTGTTGTGGTTTAACCCCAGCCGGCAAATAAGCACCATGCAGATGCACACTCACTCCCCCCCGACTGTGGTGAGATGGGGAGGAAAATTGGAAAAAGGTAAAAGCCGTGGGTAGAGAAAAGAATAGCTTAGTAATGAAATAAATTAAGACTTAATAATAACAATAATAATGGAAAAGAGAGAGAGGAATAAACCCTAAGAAAAACAGGTGACTCACAATACAATTGCTCACCACCCACTGAACGATGTCCAGCTTGTCCCCAAGCAGTCATCAGTGACTCCTGGTCAACTCCCCCTCAGATTATATACTCGGCATGATGTGCTGTGCTACCCCTTTGGCTAGTTTGGGTCAGCTGTCCTGGCTGTGCTCTCTCCTGGCTTCTCATGACCCTCCTCACTGGCAGAGCATGAGACTGAAAAGTCCTTGATCAGGGTAACATTGCTGTGTTATCAACATTATTCTCATAATAAATGCAAAACACAGCACTGCACTGTACCAGCTACTAGGAAGAAAATTAACTACCTCAGCTGCCACCAGGACAGGTAGAAAGATTCCTATTCCTGTCCCTGGGTTTGGCTGAAAGTAAATGTTCAGCTGCCACAACCATGCTATGAAAGAGTAAAATCTCTTCACATTCTGCTCTCATTATGTTATGACCACAGATTAGCCATGGTCTAAACTCGGGCTCAGCCAGAAGAAACTTTGCCAAAACAGTAGCTGAGACAATAGCGCGGTTTATGGAAAGAACCAGTGATGCCGATGTGCCATCTCTCCTACTTGCATTTGTTTGTGGGTCACCAGCCTGCAGTTTTCTATTTAGTATAGTTTCAATGCTATATATTCTTTACTGCTTTCTAAAAAAGAATACAGTACTTTAACTGTAGCTTACTGGAAGTCATATAGAGATGGACTTTAAAAGAAAAAAATCCCTATAATCCAGAGGAGTCAGAAGGCTAATTACTTTTTAGAGATTAAGTGCCCTTAGTTTTTTTTCTTAAAAGACCCTCTAGTAAAATTTAATTTCAGAGGGAGCTAGCCTGAAGTGTGGAAGAGTAAGGAACTGAAGTTTATAACCAGAGTCTAACAAAATAGGTTATCATTACCTTGGGGAAAGTCCTACTGTCACCAGGGCTTTAGTACTTCTGCGGGAGTATTTATTTCATGGTGGAGCAGTATACAGGTTGTACAGAAATGTCTCTTATTACTGTGGCACTTAGCCAAAATAATAATGAGTATATGAGTGATCAAAAAAATGAAAAAAAAAAATAAAAAATCACGCTAACAGGAAATGAAAAAGGAGGATTTTTTTTTTTTTGAACAAAAGGAAGTATTTCTGGTCGTGGTAATCATAGAAGGTTTCTATAGAATTATCAGTTATCAGAATGTAGGATACCTATCAAACCTAGTGCAAACTTCAACTTACAGAATAACATGTTCCAACATGTGAATCAATGGCAGAATGACCCTTATGCAACAGTGCACATGCGCTCT